TTTGTTCCGACTCAATAGTCAACAGCATGTAGTGCGGCTCTCGCTCGATTAGGCGCACTAACAGGGATGCCATTCAAAAATTTCGTAGCCGAAATCGATGGGTCAAGAAAAAGGCCTGGCCACGGTACACTACATGCCCATAAAATAAGAGCCGCCGGTCCCCTAAAGCAGATCCCCTGGGGAACAAGTGAGTGAAATTTCCACCACCCACGAGCACCAATGGAACCCCAAAGGTCTTGCAAAGTTAGCTTTTCGTTGACACTCTCTACGCTTTAGGGCTCTCTACGTGTTGGGCTGCCGATGTTGACGTACGCGATCGAGATCCGACCAGACATTGCTCATCATCGAATCGAACACATTTCTCGGCTTTTCTCGTGAGTCTCTGTTGTTTCGGAATGCCTCCAAACGTTTATAATAAGGGAAGGGACGATTGGTTGGAGTGGACGGGGGAGGGGCCTCCGCCGACTGCCCGTGCTCATCTCCTTCCGCCACTAGGCCGAATCCCGAAGGTTGTCATCGGGACCACATCGATCATGGAAATTCTTCTTTTTGTTTTGGAGATATGAAAAAACGATAGAACGGATTGGGGGTCGACTAATCAACCGGTTGATGCATTGGCTCTGATACCACTTGTTCTTGATTATCAAGAGGGAGCTCAAGTTCGAATCCTTTAACATGTCTAGTCTACCTTCACTAAAAAATTTAAGCTAATAGTTATGAGATAATTAGGATATATTAACCTCTCCACATTACAACATTATTCTCCAATATGGTAACTGTCCAAATGACAGTTCAGGGGTTATACTTCCAGTGGTTATGCTCCTTCCAATATCTTCCATCAAATAAATTCGCCCATACTCCTTTTGTTTGATTTGTGCCGGGGGCTTTCTGCTCCTCCACCGGTGGTATTTATAGTGAAGGTACGGTAACTGTCCTTCGATGGTGTTCAGCGATTATACTTCTAGCAGTTATGCTCCTTCCAATATCTTCCATCAAATTCGTCCATAGTCCTTTGTTTTTCGTATAGTAAGCGCTCGTAGGTGCTGCTCAGCCATTTCTAATGTCCTCATCTGTTCTTCTTGCTTCTTGTAATGATGTCCAGCAATAACTTCTATCGGTCTCATCTGTCTTCCTCTACTTTCGCAAACTTTGCCCACGTTGCGAATTATTGAAGATATCACCGTCTTATCTCTCTAGATTTTTCTTGATTAGTCTTGACCTTTCGTATTTCAATGATTAGTTAATGTGATTGTTTGTATTTGGTCTTGACCTTTCGTGTTTCGATATCTAGTTAATATCATATACATGTATAGTCATTTATGAGTCATATCAAGAGTCATGTATTTTGCCTATATAAAGGCAAGTCTAGTTGAAGTATTGCAAGGTGAATCAAATCATAATAAAATAGTTTATTCCTCTCCTCTCCTTGAGTGTTTTTCCTTGAGAGTTACCAATTAAAGTCGTTCACCTTCGAGAGTTGCCAACGATAGTTACCGACGATCGAGGCTTTCACTTTCAAGTGTTACGCCTCTAAATCTCAACACGAATAACTTTTTTTCTAGTGTGAAGACGGTTTTGTAGTCATCAATGATCATTCTATGACCCGGTCTCCAAATGGTAACCGTTCCCTCCACAGTGTGCATTTCCGGGGTCAATCGCCTCAACAATTTCAAGTTTCGAATGGTACCAGAACTTACCGCCGGCACCCATATTGGTGGTTCCGAATCATCCGTTATCATATTTCGACAATTGGACATGTGACATTAAAGCTCATTGTTGTCAATCTACACTTGTCGACTTCTGTACCTATCGATTGGACCACTACGTGTGGGATCCTACTCATGTGCTGTACACATCCTTGTTTTATCCCTGTTCCCGTGCCATTCACACGCCTTCTTTATTCATGTGCTAGGCGCGCGTGCATAGATCGGATTACTTTTGGTGTCAAAACACCTCAGAAGAGAGTTACTCCAACGATGCCTCTTTGAGGTCGGGGCTAGGAACGTACTCCATGCTTTCGATTCACACCATGCCAATTATAACCAAAGGAATCTGGGCGTGTTTTTACTAGTACGGTCCCTCGAGGAGGCAATAGGGAGGCAAAGCAAAAAAAAAAGGTGAAGTGGATTGCCCATGTCCCATGTCCCCCTCCTTTATAATGAGGAAGAGACAGTGTGCAGGGTGCACGTGCAATGGATTTGGGACCCCCCTCGTTCTCCTCCCCTTTTCTTCCCCCTCCTTTGATTGGCAAAATTGGCAGGTAGCAGGATCCCAATGATGAGCCATAGCTGGAGATCAACTCCCTTCATCGAACGCAATCATTGCTCGTCACAACGTGTAGCCCCCCGTTTCCATCATGAGCTTCCTTTCGTTCGTCTTTCCAACAGGAGATAAAGGGCAAAAGCTCTCTTCGTCTCCCCCTCCCTCGTGCTCATTGAAAATTATTTTAGGCCTTATTGTCTCTCTTCACGCTTTAGGTCTCGAACACTATAATTACCTTAAAGCGAATATTACGTGCAAAGTTAACTTTGAGGACCACACCGACTTGCTGAAATTTTCCCCCACATCTGAGGGAGCAAAACCCTAGTTTCAGTCAGTGGAAAAACAAGAAGGTTGCTCGTGTTGGCTTTTCTCCATTAAGTCCTTTCCTTTACCGATTCATTGGCCCATTGTAGTCATCTTGAAATTCGAAAAAGAAAGAAGAAGAAGAAGCGAATCGCGATTATTTGGGTACTTAAGTGCAATAAAGAAAGGACTTCAAAGAATATAATAGTGCGATTATTTAGGTACTTAATCATGCTAGCTGGTCTTTCTTTTTCTCCCCGTTTCGCCCCACCCCTTTTGAGATTTTCTTTCGATTTTTACGGGACGAAATTACTAATAGATAATCCCTTCTTTAGGGTAAAAATAAAAAAAAAAGGAAATACTGGGAATTTAGTTTCTTTCCACGATTATCAATTTTTTTTTTCGGTGGTCACTGAACGCTATAGATTGTCAAAAGCATGAAGGAAAATCAAGAAAACAAGAGAATGTCCCATGGAAAATGTTTTTACTAGGTTGGACAGTCAAGAATTACGTTGGCGTCGGCTTCACCTCTCCCATGCACAAACCTCGAATTGATGAAGTGAAAACCACAGTGTTTATATTGGGCTTTTGTACGGCTCGTGGTTGTGGAAGTAATTGTGCCGAAAAGTTATTTATCTCATTGATTTACTTGTAAAAAAAATCATCTCAAGTTACATCTCCGAGGACTAGAGTTTCGCATGTCTCGACGGGGAAATTTGTTGCTTAATCGAGCGGCCTTTCTGGTGATACGCCGAATTGGTTTCGGTGAGAGCCGAGATTTTTCTCTGCTGCACGTGATTAAAAAAAGAAGATGGTTTTGCGACCTAGACCCGCACTAATACTCCATATTATTTGAAGATTTGTATTAAGCTTCGATTTAACTAATGCTACCTAAACCTTAATTTTTGGCAAAAGTACACCAGAAGTCCACAACTTGTGTACGGCGATCACTTTGTGCCGTAACTTTTTCGGATCACTTTGATGCCAAGTCGGAGAAAATAGATCACTTTGTGACTCCGGCCAAAATTCCCGCAAAGCTGACCCGACATTTATATTAAAAAAAAATGGTCGACTTGTACACGTGGAAATTATGTGGCTTTTTTTTTTCGAATTTTTTAATTTTTAGAAAAATAAAAATAATTAAAAAAAAAAAAGAAAAAAAAAGGTTACAGGCGGCGAGGAGCCCCGCCGCTGCCGCTAACCCACCACCGCCGGGAAGGGCCGGCGGTGGTGGTCGCAGTGGTTGGCGAGGTCGCAGCCCCGGCCGGGCCGGCGACCCTCGCCGAGCCCGCCGAGGGCGTGATCCGCGAGGCGAGACCTCGCCATCGCGACCACTGCGACGGAGGTCCTGCCTCGCCTTTCTGGGCGATGCGAGACCTCGCCGTCGCGACCCGTGCGACGGTGGTGGGTTGGCGGCGCAGCCTGCGAGGGCTCCCTCGCACTGCTTTATTTATTTAATATAATTTAATTTTTTGAAAAAGTACACGTCGGCGGGCTAAACGGCGTCGTTTTTATTTTTAATGTTGAGTTGGACCTCTCCGCGAGCCGTGGACCTCTCCGGGAGCCGCCGACCCGCACTAATACTCCATATTATTTGAAAATTTGTATTAAGCTTCGATTTAACTAATGTTACCTAAACCTTAATTTTTTCTTACCGAAATTTTTACGAAGGCGATTAGGGTTTTGCATTTGGGCCATTCCAAGTAGGCTGAGAGCTCGAGACCATGGGGCCTATTTCTTAGCTGCTTGCTTGGAATATATGGCAATTTGACATCACTGTCAAGTGTGAATCCTTCCGGCAAGCCCGTGTTTGCATGTGGGTGTCCATGTTTGCTCTCTACGTGCATTCCTCGAGGCCTTACATCTATTGCCAAGAAAAAGGGGATCCTATCCATCTCTTTCGGAATGCTTTTTTTAAGCTATGATCACTCATTCAGTCTGTAAATGTCCGAGCCCGTCATCGCAGCCCACCGACGTTTTACGATCCATGGAATCTCTTCGATCAAAATAGGAAATGCCCGAAATTCAACTTTGACTAGTTTTACGACATGGCTTAAACTTGCGATCTCACAAAACAAAATACTGTTCATTTATTACCGGGTTGCCGCGCTCGCTCGTGATTAGCCGAGCTAGTTTCAAAACTCATTGCCCACGTGAGTCGAAGCTTTCCTCGATCACGAATTAGAATCCCCTGGTAATCCCTTAGCGTGTGCAAATCTCGATTGATTTGTGACATTGGTGCAGCGTGTGTTTTGCGGGGTAAAACGACTCCTCCTTGTTCTGATTGGGATCGTGCCGGTAGTTATAGGCTCGCTCAAATGAATATCGACCATGATTCAAACTGAATATTCCGTTAACGTGTATTACATCTGATCGTCTGTCTCACCTTTGGTTCGGGCCACCAAAAACATAACATATAGAAACAAAAAAAAGGCCATCTTAAAATTTTCTTCCTCCATCCACCAGAAGAACGTTATCTCTTTCCAGGCGTCTCTCCCTCCCTCCCTCTCAGTCACACACACTTCGATCCATGCTCGTAGCCCGTACCCACCACTGCCACCACCACCGCCACTGCCACCGCCACCACAGCCGCCCATGGCCGCCATCTTCTCCAATCACCACCCGCAAACCCTCGGCCTTTCTCCCACCCACCAAATTAAAACCCCTCCTCCGAATCACCAACAACGTCACCACCCCGGACGGCAGCGGCAGCAACAAAACCCCCACCCCTGCCTCCTCGGACCAACCGATGCCCTCGTCGGCGGGCAGGATCAAGCGGCTGGTGCTGTCCCCAGAATCCCGGACTAAGCTCAACGCCCTGCCAGACCGCGACTTCTACTCGTTCCCGCGCTTCGTGAAGCATGTGGACGACGGCTTCCTCGCCACGTTGACGGACCTCTACAGGGACCGGGTGAGCCTCGGATCGGAGGTGCTGGACCTGATGAGCTCGTGGGTGAGCCACCTACCGGAAGAGGTCTCGTACAAGAGGGTGGTGGGTCACGGCATGAACGCGCAGGAGCTCGCGAGGAACCCGCGCTTGGACTACTTCTTCGTCAAGGACCTGAACCGCGAGCCGAGGCTGGAGCTGGCGAGCGAGAGCTTCGACGCCGTGCTGTGCACAGTCAGCGTGCAGTACCTCCAGCAGCCCGAGGAGGTAAAATCATTCATGAGCTTTCTGGACACTTGTTAAGCAATCAAAACTAAGATATTCCCGATCGCTTGCGAATGCAGAAGTGAATAAGACTCGGCTATGGTCAACTGCATTTGCATCGTAATGGCAAACTGCCTTAGTTCAGAGGAAACGGATTGTGATTGCGTTTGAGCGAGCGAGTGGATGATCAGGTCGCTTTTGTAATCAGGTCTACTTTATGTATATCTCTAGCGCCATTCGACTCTTAATTTGAAGGATTGAAAACCATGAGCGAATCGCGATTCGGGTATGGTAATCTTAGAGCCCGTAAATTATCTACACTCCTTAGCGGCTTAAGCCTATCTCAAATTGGATCGAGGTTAGAATGAACGGATGACATTTAGACTCCTTATTGGATTGTGTTCAGTGGAGAGGATCTCTATATCGATTCTCTCTTTCGAAAAGTTGAATGCGCGGGGAAACATGATTTCGATGTCGGTGATAGTTTTTGGTCAACAGGGACAAGGTAGGATAGTTCAAGGGACAAAGGCAAGGTTTTGTGGGACAACAATATTTTTTACTAGTTTATAGAAATTGCTTTACGATAATTGGAGGAGGTGTGATGGAGGAGCTACAATGATATGATAAGATGTTTCTGTTCTACGCTTCCCACACACCCGCACGAATGAATGAGTACCAAGCTTTTATACAGGCTCAATGGACCGACTTTGTCGTGCATGGTATCTCTGCTTTGTCAGAGATTTTCTTTTTGCTTTCATTCGAGGCCACACGCTCCAACTACCATTAGTAGAATTGAGTTTTGTATGCATTTCTAGACAGTTTTGCATTTCTCAACTGGCTTGCTTTCCGCGTAGTTCTAGGCTCCTCTAGTTTGGACAAGAGGCTTCTTAAAAAAATGGATCACCAATTTCCAACGCTCCTCAGGAACTAGATGTACTTAAAGATCGAATAAGTTTCAGGAGTCGGTTGACACTGTGCAATGTCGAGCGCGATAATGACAGGATGAGTTAAATGAGATCGAGAGTGATTTCAATTTCCTTTTGCAGGTGTTTGCAGAGGCGTTTCGGGTGTTGAGGCCCGGTGGCGTATTCATCGTGAGCTTCAGCAACAGGCTATTCTATGAGAAAGCGATCACCGCCTGGCGAGACGGGACTGCGTATGGCCGAGTGCAGCTAGTGGTGCAGTACTTCCAGTGCATCGAAGGGTTCGCAGAGCCGGAGATAATCCGCAAGCTGCCCGGCTCTTCAGTTGCTCGGGAAAGCAAATCGCCTCTCGATTGGATCTTCGGGTTCTTGGGATTGCTAAGCGGGTCGGATCCTTTCTACGCTGTGATTGCCCACAAGAACTTCAAAACCTGTATATGAATGAGCAGATCAGCCAGCCCCCAAAATGAATCAAGAAAACGTACATGAATGAATGCATCAAGTTGAATTGTCCATTACTCTTCCTGCATGAGCTTCTATGTCTGAATTAAGGATGTCGCTGTAACAGATCGAGTAGATCAAGCAAAGAATTTTCGCTTCGATTCTTGTCGTTCAAAGATGATTTCTTGAAGAGTAACACATTCATGCATAAGAGAATCAAAAAAGGTTTTCCTAAATACCCGTTCTATCAAATCAAGTCAATCAACGATATAGAAACGACAGGACTCGTCTCGGAACCTCGCAAAAACTTACGCGACTCTGAATATTTCGATCGGCGTCAGATAAAGCGTCCTCGATGTGAAAAACTTGATTGGCTATGAACAGAAAGCAGGCTGTTACGTACTGGCACTGCATGTCATTCGGGAATATGCTATAGCGAGATTGATCAGCAGCACAAAACGTGATTTGGGTTGCGAATTTGGCCATTTTTGTTAATAGTGAAATGATTCGGTGACCCTCCAATGGGAAGCAAGGAATCGAATATGTTGTTCCCTCCTATTTTCCTCTATTTTTCGCTTTCTTGCTTCTTGTTTTGTAGTGGAAAAGCTTCATTGGCGTAAGGTGGTGAAACGCAATACGTACCCAACTCAACCAAGCAAGGAAGCAAAAAAAAAAAAAAAAAAATGAAATCTTCTTACAATTCTCCATGATATTAACCTTCGAGTGCATATTGTGTAAATCAAATCCTCATGTTTAGTGTTAGGCATCCGTCTTCTAGGAAGCATGAGCTATCACGAAAGAAATTGCAACCGGTACATTAGAGACTTGTAAATCGGCTCGACGCGTGATGCCGACACAGTTGCCTGGAGAAGATCTGATGACATGGGGAATCGGAAGAAACGACTTAAGTCTTAATCATGTCTACTTCAAGTAAAGCAAAAGGGACTTAGATTGTATGGACCATGCCCTGACTATATGTCGCTATCGAAGATTTGATTAGGCACTAAACAAACAAACATTACTTTTGGCATGAAAGCCTGAGATGTCCATTGCTACATTTGTACTGTTGTTTTGAGCACGAGAATCGCTCTTCCTAACCAATATCTTATCAGTGTTCTTCATTTAATCATTAGAAGTTAATCAGAATACCACAAAGATTACCATCTGCTCCGGACATTGCACAGGGAAAGCTCCATGCATGGTCCCAAGTATCTTCCTAGCTGGACAAAGTTCATAAAAAGAGAGAGGCCAAGGCTTCAATTTAACGTACAAAACATTAAATTACAATTGAAGCAAGGAAGTCGATTCATACCGAGGCTTTACTCCATCTATCATTCCTATAAATAGAGACCAGGCTTAGGGCTATATCGATCACACAAAACACAGATAAAAATATCTCTCCCCACCTTTCATAAAACCCTCGTGTCGTATTTTCTCTAGAGTTTGCATATCCCGTCATGGCCATGATGCCGACCAGCAAGATGATGCCAACCAGCAAGATGATGCCGCCCGCCATGCAGAGGCTGATCAAGGGCGGGGATCGGAGCATGATCACGATGTCCGACGACAACGTGATGATGAAGCAGGTCATAGAGACTCACAACCCCGACGGCCGCGAGGTTGATGTGAAGCCGCTCCTCCGTCTTGTCGAGGACATCCTCAACCGCGCTACCTTGAATGCTGGCACTGTCGCCACCATGGTAATGGAGTAGGAATTATCTATATTGTCTGCCTTCTTGCGGTGTACTTGATCAAATATGTTTAATTTAGCGAGGAGAGATTTGTCCAGCTTAGTATCACTCACCATATCTCTGAAAAAAGAACGAGCAAATTCACGACAATAATCGATCTCAATTATCTGTATTTCTTTTGAGTACTATAATTTCTCGTTTCTAATTCTAAATCAAGCATGCATGGATCTCGCTGCGTATAGGAATCACAATTGTCCACGGAAAACATTGAGGAAAAGAGTTACCAGGCAAGCTTCAACGCCATGCTCGACGCGCTGTCCTATATCATCGACCGGATTTCCTGCGAGGTGATCTATGAAAAATTTCATTTTGCGCTTCATCTATTTCGAATTTCCCCATGAAGTTAAATGAAGAGCAATCAATTCCTTGTTAGAAACACAAGTCTTTCTACTGACGTTTGCCAGCTGGCAACCGATCCTCAGCTATCCGTGAAGGCGCTGAGCGGGGGCGAGGCGCATGCGACCACGCTCTCCATATTCAACATGCTCAACCCCTTCCCGTGGGACGCCAAGCTGGTGCTGACACTGGCGGCCTTCGCCTTCAACTACGGCGAGTTCTGGCTCTTGGCCCAGATCTACTCCACCAACCAGCTCGCCAAGTCGATGGCAATCCTGAAGCAGCTGCCCATGATCATGGAGCACTCGGGTGTGCTCAAGTCCCGGTTTGACGCGCTCAACAGCCTCATCCAGGCCATGCTCAAAGTCACGAGGTGCGTGGTGGACCTCAAGGAGCTTCCCTCAGCTTACATCTCCGGCGAGCTCCCCGCGTTGTCAGCCGCCATGGCCCATGTCCCAACTGCCGTTTACTGGACCATAAGGAGCGCCGTGGCTTGTGCTAGCCAGATCACCAGCCTCACCAGCTATGGCCTTGAGTATGCGCTCTTGAACTATTTTGATTCCTCTACTCGCGCTCAATTATAAGGCGTTAAATAGCTAATGGGTTAATAGCAGAGTTAATCATATTACTGAAAGTATATCTCTGAATGATTATTTAGGTCGATGCCTCCCACATGAAATCATGACATGGAAGTGAGAATTTGCAGGTACATAACTTCCACTACTGAGGCATGGGAGCTATCAACTTTGGCTCACAAACTGACGAACATATATGAACATTTGCAGAAGCAAATTAACATATGTTACCAACACATTGGTAATAAATGAGCCACTGATCTATATTGATCCTCTATTATTTTCTTATATAGTAATTGAAGAGAAAGAAACCTTTTTGGAGAAGGCTTAACCTAGTTAATGGTGACGCAGAGGAAAACCAGCATGCCGAAACCTATCAGAACCTCCTGAATCTCCTTGGAGCCATCCACATTGACAATATGAAGATCCTGAAGGCTCTGATTTATCCTAAGGATGATATTCTGCCACTTGTTGAGGGGACTACAAAGAAAAGGGTTCGATCTCTATAGCCAGTCTCCCCATTACGCAACAACCATGAACCCTTCATATCGAAATTGATTTGACCGCGATTTTCTGTCTATCTTGCGACATACAGGTCAACATCGAAGTCCTGAGGAGGAGAAACGTATTGCTGCTGATCTCGGGGCTGGACATCTCGCAGGACGAGCTGGCCATCCTGGAGCAGATCCACAGCGAGTCCAAGTTGCATGCGACACGGCAGGAGATGCACCAGTATGAGCTGGTGTGGATCCCCGTGGTGGACCGCTCAGTCCAGTGGACCGACCCAATGCAGAAGCACTTCGAGGGCTTGAAATCCACAATGCCGTGGTACACCGTGATCCACCCAAACCTGATCGACAGGGCGGTGATCCGGCTCATCAAGGAGAAGTGGCACTTCAGGAACAAGCCCATCCTGGTGGTGCTTGACCAACAAGGCAGGGAAGTGTGCCCCAATGCCATTCACATGATGTGGATTTGGGGAAGCAATGCCTTCCCTTTCACTACACTGAGAGAGGAGGATCTGTGGAAGGAAGAGACATGGAGGCTTGAGCTTCTTGTCGATGGCATTGATCAAACAATTCTGAATTGGGTAACTCACGTTCATGTCAAGTTAGCATTTTTATCATATGAATTCAAAGGTTTGTGACATTGAGATCTTCAATTTTGTCCCTCATCAGATTAAGGAAGGCAAGTACATATTCCTGTACGGCGGCGATGACATCGAGTGGATCCACAAGTTCACTGTGGCGGCACGCCAGGTCGCGCAAGCCTCAAAGATCCCCCTGGAGATGGTCTATGTGGGCAAGAGCAACAAACGAGAGCAGGTGCGGCGTGCGATCGAGACCATCAGCCTTGAGAAGCTGAGCTACACCTGGGTGGACCTGACCATGGTGTGGTTCTTCTGGACCCGGCTTGAGTCGATGCTCTTCTCGAAGATCCAGCTCGGGAAGGCGGACGAGTCCGACCCCATGATGCAGCAGATCAAGATGCTGCTCAGCTTTGACAGGGCCGGTGGGTGGGCGGTACTGAGCAAGGGGTCCAGCATCACGGTGAACGGGCACGGGACCACGGTCCTGCAGGCGCTGCAGGAGTACGACCAGTGGAAGGAGTCCGTGCCGACCAAGGGGTTCGACAACGCGTTCGGGGAGCGCCACGGCAATATCCACAAGGCGACGCAACCGTGCTGCCGGTTCGAGTTCCAGAGCACGGCGGGAAGGATCCCGGAGAGCATTCGGTGCCCCGAGTGCAAGAGACGCATGGAGAAGCTCACCACCTTCGTCTGCTGCCACGATGAGCCTGTTCCCAGCATTTATGAGTGATCAATCAATCAAAGCCTTTATATGGAGGAGGGGCATATGAATGTCTTGTGGGACATAATAAAAAGCCATGTGTGCGCTTGAATTTCCCTGTTTTGATTTGAGTTTGGAGTGTGAAGGATGATATCCAATAATCAACATGTGATGTTTAAGATTAAATAAGAATTAGAGAGTGTGAATCTCTTATGAACCCTTTGTCATCTCAAAGATTTTGCTCTCCCTCTTCTCCTCCCCTCTAATTATGTTTTTGGATCTACATCAGTGCCGGGCGTCCCACGTCGGACGGCCGGTATCCAAGTCAGCGATTTCTGGCTAAAATTGATCGGATTGACGTAATTGACAAATTGTCAAAATATTTAGGACTCAATTGGCTAAATTGAAAAGTTTAATATCGAATTGGCAAAAGTGCAATAAGTTTATGACTTTTTGGACAATAGGAATAGTAGGGAGGCGGCCCCGTCTTGTCCAAACGGCAACCAAGGCGTTGGTGCAACCGAACACGAGCCTCGTTGGATTTGGGGGCAAGAAAGGGTTTAAATAAAATCGTTCTTAAAGATATTTTCACTGTTCATTATCTTGCCAACAATGATGTTGTATTAAATTAATTCTATCCAAGATTTTCAAGCAAGAAAAAAATCGCGGATGTAACTTCAACGAATGATTTCTAAAAGTTCTAGCACAAAAATAAATGTTATAGTGTTATTTCCCCTAAAATTATAAGTAGGTATGTGGATAATATAGGAAATGGGATAAGTGTAATGAAATTTTAAAACTAGTCACGAAAATGCAATTGAGTGTTATAACTTACAAAAAGTTTCTCTCCTACATGACTTTCTTTTCTTTTTATGATTTTCTCTCTTCCAAGTGGCATTGAACCTACTAAAACATAAAATATAGGACTAGATTGACATCATTTGGTCTAAATCATATTTTTTAAACCAAAATCTTAATTAAGTTAGAATAAAAAACAAAAAAAAAGATAATTTTTCTTTTCAAAAACACAAAAAAGATAACGTAGTAGGTCTTCGCCGACGCCGACCCACCATTGTCGAAAAGGGCCGGCAGGGTCATCGAGAGTCCAGCAAGCCCCACCCAAATCTAGGCAAGGGTCGCAGCCCTCCACCTAGATCTAGCGCCAAATCTCGGCGAGGGCCGGCTGGTGCCAAATTTTCGTTCCTCTGGAGCCCTAATTTTTTGGCCTAGTCCTAGCTTCTCTGGATTTCCTTGTGCTAGGTTTCGTTATTTTCCTCCCTATTTTTTTTTTCCTTGTTAGGAGGTCGTTGGTTTTCGATGGTTCCTTGCAAATGTGGGCGATTGTGCTGGCGTTTTTTTCTTGCGAAATTTATGAGCGTGGTTGGTTTTCTTCATGTTCTTCGTGTCCGTTAGTTGCCATAGATGAAGCTACATACCAATTGTTGCTTTTTCTTTCCTTTTCAAATTCTCTATTGAGATCAATTTCTGATGTACCTGTTGAGCTCGACAACCATCGAATTAAAGTCATTATTTCAAGCTTGTTTTTTTTGGAACTTACTTAAAGATAGACTAGTGTAGTCTGAGGGACTTCCACCACGTTCTCTTTTCTGGACATGTTTTTTTTTTTAATATCATTTTCGTTAGAAAATTAGGATTAGAATCAAAACGACGTTGTTTTAATCTTATGTTTCAAGTTTTGATAAAATGATAAAAAAAAAAAAGCCACTTGGGATAGAGAAACTAAAGAAAAAAAGTCACATCAGCATTTTTTATTATCCAAGTTGGATGGAGTTAACAAAATGACTCAATTGCACAAATTTAACAAGTTTTATGTTTCATGTTTTGGCAAGGTTAATGCAGCGCCGAAGAGAAGAAATGATTAAAAAATGTCACGTAGAAGAGAAAAATTCTAAAAAAAAGCCACGTCAGCATTTTCCGTTAACCAAGTTGGACAGAGTTAAAAGAATAGCTCAATTGCATCAATTTGACAAGTTTTAGGACTTGATTGCACTTTCGTGACAAGTATTAGAACTTGATCGCACTCTCTTAACAAGTTTTAGGACTGCCAATTGACTTATTCTTATAAGAAATTGAAGAAAATTCGAAATCTGACAATTGTTAAGAGATGATCACTTATGAGAGGACTCGTGAGGTTCCCTATAATGTATATTCGAAAATATTTATGAACTTTAGAATGCAAACCGTTCTTGCCTATGGATACTAAGAAGGGAATTATTTATCTTCACCTAACGGATATTGATAATCAGTATGGATAATTACCAAAAAAAGTCCTAAAATCAGTTAACATGGACGTCGGCCATTTTACATGGCACGACCTGCTAACGTTGACAAGTTTTGCAATTTTTTAAAATTTTGAATTTTTTGAATTTCTATATATTTTCTTTCTTGTCCTTTATTTTATTCTACCAAGTCTGGTGAGGGTCGGTGAGTCGGCCCACAGTGAAAAAATCTTCAAAGGACTTAGGATTAAATTGGCCATGCCACGTATGATGGCTAATGTCCATGTCGAGAGATTGTCACCAAAATTGGCCTAGGAATGACTATATCGATAAATCATCAAAGGGTTTAGATGATTAAATTGGTCAAATCGAAAGGTTTATAATTGAATTTGCATCCGTACAATAGGTTAATGATTTTTTTTTCGATAATTTTCCCGATAATCGATGGTCCTATCGATAAATCCAATAAAGACTTTTCATACAGATTAAATAAGAAGAAGTAAGGACTTTGCCTATTCACATCTACTTTAAGTAAAGCAAAAAGGGCTTTGATTATATGAAATATACCCTCAATCATGAGATTTCAGAATGGTTTGATTATTGTCGTGTTGTGATTATAAATATTTGTTTCCGGTCAGGAGATTGCATGCTAGCCTAGCCTAGGTTTAGGGGTTGAACTCAAAGGTGAGATTTATCTCACTAGTTGTGTAAATCGAAATATTTCAGACCCTCCACTATAGGATGCCGAGGACACCACCTCTTTTGGGATACCGCATCATATCCAGCGGTCGCCTAGCGTACCTCCCTGTGGAGACGGAGCAACCTATGTGAGATATTACTCGGTTTTGTTGTGAACGTGGGGGAGGATTACTACCACACCCAGGAGTACGTGGCTTGGTATTATAGGGGGCCGACGGCGTGACCGGACCCCCACTTTTGATCGAGTAACTGCTGGTGTGTGCTTTTCACTATCGTTGTATAGTTGAAGGTTGTAAAAAGTTTTCTATGGCAATGCTAGTGTATGTATATTTTCAGAGTTGTTTGATTGCTGGTTGTTTTACCTTGGTCTCATGTGTTTATTTGTACGGGTATATATATATATATATATTTATATTTATATTTATATTTATATACGTGCTTCCGTATGCGATTGATCTCTCGATTGGGTGTTGGGTCGGCGACGTTTCCTGGAACGTTGCACCATAATCGACCATGACGGGATGTTACGTTCCAAAGTGGGTACGGGCGTGACATATCGCCAACTATTCGAAAAGCTTACGCTTGTTAGGATGAATGCATGATTTAATATCTAATATTCTATCACTATATTTGCACTGTTCTTTTGAGCAACAGGTTTACTCACCCTAATGATTATCTCAATCTGTGTTCATTATTTACCTATTAGAAGAAATTAATCAGAATTCCACAAAAATCACTGTCTTCTTCGGACAGTGCACAGAGAAATGCTCACGGCATGGTCCCAAGGATCTTCCTAGCTAGATAAAGTGTGAAAAAAGAGAGGCCAAAGCTTCAATTTAACGTACATAACACTAAATTGCGATTGAAGCAAGGAAGTCGATTCATCCCAAGGCTTTACTCCATCTGTCATTGTTATTAATAGAGACCAGACTTAGGGCTATATCAATCACACAAAACCCAGATAAAAATATTCTTCCGATCTTTCCTAGAACCATAGTGTTAATTTTTTACCAGAGTTCATATATCCCATTATGGCCATGACAACGACGGGCAAGATGATGCCGCCCGCCATGCAGAGGCTGATCAAGGGCGGGGATCGGAGCATGACCACAGTGTCCGACGACAACATGCTGATGAAGCAGGTCGTGGGGACTCATGTCCCCGACGGCCGCGAGGTTGATGTGGAGCTGCTCCTCCATCTTGTCGAGGATATCCTCAAGCGCACTAACTTGGATGCCGACACTGTCGCTGCCGTGGTAATGGAGTAGGAATGATCCTTTTTGTCTGCCTTTTCGCGGTGACCTGGAATCAAATGCTTGGAGTACATTTTGCAGATATATTTGATTTAGCTAGAGAGATTTGTTCAGTTTAATATCACTCACCATTTCTCTGACAAAGAATGAGCAATATCACGACAATAATCAATCTAAATGGTATGTTCTGATGAGTTTCATCGTCTCTCGTTTCTAATTCTAAATCATTGCATGCTTGGCTCTTGATGTGTATAGGGATCACCAGCGCAGACGGAAAACATGGAGGACAAAACTAACCAGGCCAGCTACAGCGACGTACTCGACGCGTTGTCCTATATCATCGATCGGGTTTCCTGCGAGGTAGTTTACGAACAAATTTTATGTTGCGCTTCATCAATCTCGAATACTGCCACGAAATTAAATGAAGAGCAATCGATTTATTTGTTTGAGAATCAAGTCTTCTACTGACATTTGCTAGCTGGAAACCGATTCTCAGCTAAACATGAAAGCACTGAATGGGGGTGACGCACACGCGACCACGCTCTCCATATTCAAGTTGCTCACCCCCTTCTCGTGGGACGCCAAGCTGGTGCTGACACTGGCGTCCTTCGCCAACAACTATGGCGAGTTCTGGCTCTTGGCCCAGATCTACTCCTCCAACCAGCTCGCCAAGTCGATGGCGATCCTGAAGCAGCTGCCCATGATCATGGAGCACTCGGGTGCGCTGAAGTCCCTGTTCGACGCGCTCGACAGCCTCATCCAGGCCATGCTTAAAGTCACGAGGTGCGTGGTGGACCTCACGGAACTTCCCTCAGCTTACATCTCCAGTGAGGTCCCCGCGTTGTCAGCCGCCAGGGACCAAGTCCCAACTGCCGTTTACTGGACCATAAGGAGCGCTGTGGCTTGTGCTAGCCAGATCACCAGCCTCACTAGCCATGGCCTTGAGTATGCGCTCTCGATTTATTTCGATTTCTCTACTCGCGCTCAATTATAAGGCATAGATACAAATCATTATATAGCTGATGGGTTAATAGCAGAGTTAATCATATTACTGAAAGTATATCTCTGAACGATTATTTATGTAGATGCCTCCCACATGAAATCATAACATGGAAGTGAGAATTTGCAGGTACATAACATCCACAACTGAGCAATGGGAGCTATCAACGTTGGCTCACAAACTGATGAACATATATGAACATTTGCGGGAGCAAATTACCATATGTTCCCAACACATTGGTAATAAATGAGCCACTGATCTATATAGACCCTCTATTATTTTCTTATATAGTAATTGAAGAGAAAGAAACCTTTTCGGGGAAGGCCTAACCGAGTTAACGATGGCGCAGAGGAAAAGCGGCTTGTCGAAGCCTATCAGACTCTCCTGAAGCTCATTGAAACCATCCACATTGACAATATGAAGATCCTGAAGGCTCTGATTTATCCCAAGGATGATATTCAGCCACTTGTTGAGGGGACTACAAAGAAAAGGGTTCGATCTCTATAGCCAGCCTCACCATTATGCAACAACCATGAGCCTTTCAAATCGAAAATGATTTGACCGAGATTTTCTGTTCTATCTCGGGACATACAGGTCAGCATCGAAGTCCTGAGGAGGAGGAACGTGTTGCTGCTGATCTCGGGGCTGGACATCTCGCAGGAAGAGCTGTCCATCCTGGAGCAGATCCACAGCGAGTCCAAGTTGCATGCGACACGGCAGGAGATGCACCAGTATGAGCTGGTGTGGATCCCCGTGGTGGACCGCTCAGTCCAGTGGACCGACCCAACGCAGAAGCACTTCGAGGCCTTGAAATCCACAATGCCGTGGTACACCGTGAACCACCCAAGCCTGATCCACAAGGCGGTGATCCGGCTCATCAAGGAGAAGTGGCACTTCAGGAACAAGCCCATCCTGGTGGTGCTTGACCCACAAGGCAGGGTTGTGTGCCCCAATGCCATTCACATGATGTGGATTTGGGGAAGCAATGCCTTCCCTTTCACTACACTGAGAGAGGAGGCTCTGTGGAAGGAAGAGACATGGAGGCTTGAGCTTCTTGTCGATGGCATTGATCAAACAATTCTGAATTGGGTAACTCAAGATCATGTCAAGTTAGCATTTTTATCGTATTAATTCAAAGGTTTGTGACATTGAGATCTTCAATTTTGTCCCTCATCAGATTAAAGAAGGCAAGTACATATTCCTGTACGGCGGCGATGATATCGAGTGGATCCGCAAGTTCACCGTGGCGGCACGCCTGGTCGCATCAGCCGCGAGGATTCCCTTGGAGATGGTCTATGTGGGCAAGAGCGGCAAACGAGAGCAACTGCGGCGCGTGATCGAGACCATCAACCTTGAGAAACTGAGCTACACCTGGCAGGACCTGACCATGGTGTGGTACTTTTGGACCCGGCTCGAGTCGATGTTCTTCTCGAAGATCCAGCTGGGGAAGACGGACGAGTACGACCCCGTGATGCAGCAGATCAAGAGGCTGCTCAGCTTCGACAAGACCGGGGGGTGGGCTGTGCTGGGCCGGGGGTCGAGCATCATGGTGAGTGGGCACGGGACCACTGTCCTGCCTGCGCTGCTGGAGTACGACGCGTGGAAGGTGCACGTGGCGACCAAGGGGTACGACGTGGCGTTGAAGGAGCACCACGACAAGATCCAAGACGTGACGCACCCTTGCTGCCGGTTCGAGTTCCAGAGCACGACGGGAAGGATCCCGGAGAGCATGCGGTGCCCCGAGTGCAAGAGACTCATGGAGAAGCTCACCACCTTCGTCTGCTGCCACGATGAGGTTGTTCCCAGCATCTATGAGTGATCAATCAATCAAAGCCTTTATATGGAGAAGTGACATATGAATGTCTTGTGGGACTTAATAAAAAGCCACGTGTGTGCTTGAATTTGCTTGCTTTGATTTGTGTCTGGAGTGTGAAGGATGATGTCCAATAATCAACACCCGATGTTTGAGATTAAATAAGAATATACAGAGGGAACCTTTGATGAGTTCTTTGTCCTATCAAGATTTTGCACTCCCTCTTCTCTTCTCCTCTACTATGTTTTTGGTCTTCGATGGCTTCTTCTTCTTCCTTCTTCTTCTTCTCTCTAGAGAGTCCTCAGAAGATCACTCTCTGCAAGGGTCGCCAGCACTTTCCGTCAACTCCAAACGCCGCCGCTGTCACTTTTCACCCTCCACCATCTCCGGGTCGTCGACGAGTTGTCGTCGAAAGTCCCTCCCTAGGGATTATCCACTAGATTTAGAAAGAACTCTAATAGGGGTTAGGGTTTGAGTTGCAATCTTATCTAGTCCCAAATTCTCAATTTGAGGGTAAGAAAGAATTTAAACATAATCGTCTTGGAAATATTTCAACTCTCGTCATCTGTTCGAATGATGAGTCATGCCGGATTGCGTAATATTAAATTAATGCCATGGATTTTCAGGGAAGGGAAATCGCCTACGTAACTTCACCTAAAATTTTCTAAAAGTTATGACCCTAAAGTAAGTATCGTTTATGGTATCGTTAATTTTAATTTTCCCGAGTTGATTGGTAAAAAAGTGGATAACGTATGAATGATCATATATGAGGGTATTCGTGAGGAACCCATCAATGCATATCGAAATTTTTATGAAATTTAAAACTCCAACCGTGCCTATTCACCTAAAGGTTACCGATAATCGATGGTCCTATCAATAAATCCAGCAAAGACTTTTCATAAAGATGAAAAGAAGAAGAAGAAAGGACTTGTCTGGTCATTATCTACTTCAAGTAAAGCAAAAGGCACTTTGCTTATATAAAAAATACCCTGATTATATTTTGCTAGCGAGGATTTAATTCAACATTAAATAAACATTACTCTGCCAACCATATCTCATCTCTGCTAATTACTTGATTATTAGAAGAAATTAATCATTATCGCACAAAAGTCACTGTCTGCATTGGACATTTACACAGAGAAAGCTCCATGCATGGTCCCCAGCATCTTTCTAGGCTGGAACAATACTGACCAAAAAAGAGGCCAAAGCTTCAATTTAACGTAAAAAAAAACATTTAACTACAGTTGAAGCAAGGAAGTCGATTCATCCCAAGGCTTTACTCCATCTATCATTCCTCTTTAAGTCTTTATAGAAACCAGACTAAGGGCTATATCAATGACACAAAACCCAGATAAAAATATATTTCCCTTCCTTCCTAAAACCATAGTGTTAACATTTTTCTAGAGTTTAGATATCCGTTATGGCCACGACGACGATCGACAAGGGCAGGGTTCGGAGCATGATGACGATGTCTGATGAGGACCTGATGATGAAGCAGGTTGAGGAGGCTCACGCCCCCGACGGACACGAGTTTGAAGTGGAGCCGCTCCTTTATCTAGTTGAAAATATCCTCGACCGCGCCACCTTAAATGTTGACACCGACGTCGCCCCCGTGGTAATAGAGTAGGAATGACTTCTTTTGTCTGCCTTGACCTGGAATCAAATGCTTTGAGTACATTTTACAGTAATTTGGCTAGGAGAGATTTGTTCGGTTTAATATCACTCACCATTTCCCTGACAAAGGATGAGCAATATCACGACAATAATCAATCTCAACTATCTGTTTTTCTTATGAGTTCACGGCGGCATACATGGCGGACGAGACTTTCGAGGCCAGCATCACCACCATGCTCGACGCGTTGTCCTATACCATCAGTCGGATTTCTGGCGAGGTGGTTCATGAGAAGTTTCATTTTGCGCTTCATCGAATTCAAATTCCACCACAAAATTATATGAAGAGCAATCAATTCTTGGCAACAAAATCAAATTCTTTACTGACTTTTGCCACCTGGCAACCAATCCTCAGCTATCTGAGAAGGCGCTGACCGGGGGCGAGGCGCACAAGACGACGCTCTCCATACTCAACATGCTCGCCCCCTTCTCCTGGCACGCCAAGCTGGTGCTGACCCTTGCGGCCTTCGCCTTCAACTACGGCGAGTTCTGGCTCTTGAACCAGGTCTACTCCTTCAACCAGCTCGCCAAGCCGATGGCTATCCTGAAGCAGCTGCCCGTGACCATGGAGCACTCGGGCGCACTCAAGTCCCGGCTTGACAAGCTCAACAGCCTCATCCAGACCATGCTTGAAGCGACCGGGTTCGTGGATGAACTCAGGATACTTTCCTCAACTTTGGATGAACTCAGCATACTTTCCTCAGCTTACATCCCCAGCGAGGTCCCCGAGTTGTCAGCCGCCATGGCCCGCGTCCCATATGTCGTCTACTGGACCATAAGAAGCGCTGTGTCTTGTGCTAGCCAGGTCACCAACCTCACTAGCTTCAGCCACGAGTATGCGCTCTCGAGTTATTTCGATTTCTCCTCTCGCGGCTCATTTATAATTTATAAGGCACAGATACAGATCATTCTATAGCTAATGGGTTAACAACAGAGTTAATCTTGAAACTATGAATCATTACTTGTGTAGACGCCTCCCACAAGAAATCATAACATGGAAGTGAGAATTTGCAGGTACATAACATCCAAAACTGAGGCATGGGAGCTGTCAACCTTGGATCACAAACTGAAGACCGTAAAAGAATATTTGCAGGAGCGATGTATCACATGTCACCGATTAGTAAGCGGTAACCCAGTGATCTATATAGACCCTCCATTGTTTTTGTACATGGTAAATGAAGAGAAAGAAACCTTTTCGAAGAAGGCTTAACCAAGTTCATGGTCATGCAGCGGAAAAAGAGCAGCACGACAAAGCCTATCAGACTCTCCCGAATCACCTTAAAGCCATCCACATTGACAATATGAAGATCCTGAAGTCTCTGATTTATCCCAAGGATGATATTCTGCCGCTTGTGGATGGGACTACAAAGACAAGGGTTCGATCTCCATAGCAAGTCTCATCATTTTGTAACTATTAACCCTTCAAATATAAAATGATTTGACTGCGATTTTTTGTTCTATCTTACGACATATGTGTTCAAATATCTCACATTGCTTGACAGTCTTATATGCTATGGTCTGCCCTCCATTTAATAATTTAAGCTTTTGGATTGGATTTTCTAATAATACAGGTCAACATCGAAGTCCTGAGGGGGAAGAATGTGTGGCTGCTGATCTCATGGCTGGACATCTCACAGCACGAGCTGTCCATCCTAAAGCAGATCCACAGCGAGTCCAAGCTGCATGCGACAACACATGAGATGGTGTGGATCCCCGTGGTGGACCACTCGGTCAAGTGGACCAAGGGAAAGCAGAAGCAGTTCGATGACCAGCAGTCCACGATGCCGTGGTACACCGTGCTCCACCCACGCCTGATCAGCAAGGTGGTGATCCAGTTCGTCAAGGAGATGTTGCACTTCAGGAACAAGCCCATCCTGGTGGTGCTTGACCCACAAGGCAAGGTTCTGTGCCCCAATGCCATTCACATGATGTGGATTTGGGGAAGCATTGCCTTCCCTTTCACTACACCAAGAGAGGAGGCTCTGTGGAAGGAAGAGACATGGACGCTTGAGCTTCTCGTCACTGGCAATGATCAAAAAATTCTGAATTGGGTAACTCACAATCATGTCAAGTCGACATTTTCATCATATTAGTTCAGAGGTTTGTGACATTGAGATCTTCAATTCTGTCCCTAATCAGATTAGAGATGGCAAGTACATATTCCTGTACGGTGGCAATGACATCGAGTGGATCCGCACGTTCACCAAGTCAGCACGGCAGGTCGCGCTGACAGCGAGGATTCTGCTGGAGATGGTCTATGTTGGCAAGAGCAGCAAGTGGGAGCAGGTGCAGCGCATGACTGCCATCATCAACAATGAGAAGCTGAGCTACACCTGGCAGGACCCGACCATGGTGTGGTTATTCTGGACCCGGCTCGAGTCTATGCTCTTCTCGAAGATCCAGCTCGGGAAGGCGGACGAGCACAACCCCGCGATGCAGCAGATCAAGAGGCTGCTCAGCTTCGACAAGGCCGGGGGGTGGGCGATGCTGAGCCGGGGGTCGAGCATCACGATGAACGGGCACGGGACCACGGTCTTGCCGGCGCTGCTAGAATACGACCTGTGGAAGGGGAACGTGGTGACCAAGGGGTACGGCGTGGCGTTCAAGGAGCACCACGACAGGATTCAGGACTTGATGCCCCTATGCTGCCAGTTGGATTTCCAGAGCACGGTCCCGGAGAGCATGCGGTGCCCGGAGTGCCACAGTCTCATGGAGGAACTCACCACCTTCTTCTGCTGCCATGATGAGGTAGTTCCCAGCATCTATGAGTGATCAATCAATCAAAGCCTTTGTATGGAGGAGGGTCGAGGGATATATGAATGTCTTGTGGGACATAATAAAAGGCCATGTGTTTGCTTACATTTTCTCTACTCAGTAAGAATAGAGAGAGGGACCCTTTGATGAGTTCTGTCCTCTCAAGATTTTGCACTCCCTCTTCTCTTCACCTCTATTATGTTTTTGGTCTTCCATGAAATTGTCATTATCACCTGATCAATCATATGCCATTGCTCTATCGCAGCTATTATATGGTCATTCCTTAGTTCAAGATGTATTGGCACTAATAATCAAGATTTTCTTATTTCTCGATATCTCGAATCAAAACTCAGAAAGGCCACAACGAAATACATTGAGAAGAATTCTTCACGAAACTAGGTTGAGAAATAGTATCCTGTGCCAAATGCTACTTCTTTGATCCTCAAATTAGGGGCAAGAAAGGGCTTAAACGACAGTGGTTTTAAAATATTTTCGCTGTTAACAATCAGCATCTCTCCGACAAGTCATGTAGGATTTCATGCATGGTTTTAAAATATTTTGACTCATAAGTGATCGTTTGAAACATTACGACAATAAAAAAAAGTCGCATGAAGGATATGACGCCATTAATTTTCTTTTCCCAAAATTGATAGGTAGATAAGTAGATAACATAGGAAAACGGGAAATAATGACAGAAGTTCGAAATCTGATAACCGTTGAGTGATGATCATATATGACGGGACACGTGAGCAGACCTATAATGCGTAGTAAGCATATATATATTTATGGACTTTTAAAGAGCAAACTATGCTTGGACATGGTTTTACCTTGCAAGACTAAACCGAGAGTAGAAATTTTTTTTTTGGGGGGTCACCAAACTTTTATTGATGATGGATGCTCCCCGTCAATAAATCCAGTAAAGACCTTTCATAAAGATGAAAAAAGAAGAAGACAGGACTTTGCGCAATCACATCTACTTCAAGTAAAGCAAAAGGGAATTTGATCATGTGAATCGTGCTCCCGTTACGGGCCGTTTAGTTCAACTTTGCAAATGAGCCTTGGGGAAATGCAAATACCTTTAAGTTAAAAACTCTTGGGAAAATACAAATGACGTTTGGTAAAAAATTCTTTGTGAAGCTACTTTGGCCTAAGTAGTGTTTGTATATATTTTTTTTGCAAAGGGCTTTGGGACCCTTTTTTATTAAAAAAAAAAAAGGTTACCCTTCGCCGAAGCTGGCGAAGGGCTACAGCCACCGACGAGCCAGATCTGGCGCTGGCGGCCATTGCCTGAGGTCGGGCGACCACCAGCGAGCCAAATCTGGCACTAGTGGCCATCGCCCAAGGTTGGGCGACCCTCGGCGAGGGTCGTGCGACCCAGGCGGCTCTTGCTGGGGGTCGCTCGACCTTAGGCGACGAGACTTGAGGTCGCGCGACCCAGGTGCCGTCGCCTGGACTCGCGCGACCTTAGGCAACGGCCGCATGGGTCGCGTGACCTCAAGCGGCCGTCACCTGAGTCGGGCGACCTCGTCGGCCCTTCGCCGTCCAGATCCGATGTCGTTGGCTGCCCTTTCGCAAAGCAGTTGAACAGTAACAATAACGGGCAAAATCGAAATATTAAAGAATAAGTGAGTGTAGTTTGGGAAGAAAAAAAATTAGTTTCAGCATTTGGCAAAAGGCTAAAACCCCAAAGTTGGTACGGACCAGCTTTGAGTTTTGAGCAATTCCGATGCTGGCTTTTGGCCGAAATCATACTGCATTTGTACTGTTCTTTTGTACATTTATTATATTATTAGAAGAAATTAATCAGAATCCCACATAAATCACTGTCTGCTTCGGACATTACACGGAGAAAGCTTCATGCATGGTCCCAAGTATCTTGCTAGGCTGGACCAAAAATAACCAAAAAGAAGAGGCCAAAGCTTCAGTTCAACGTACGAAACATTTAACTACAGTTGAAGCAGGAAAGTCAATTCATCCCCGGGCTTTACTCCATCTATCGTTTCTATTCATAGAGACCAGACTTAGGGCTATATCAATCGCACAAAACCCAGATAACAATATTTTTCCCATCTTTCCTCAAACCACTGTCATATTTTCCCTAGAGTTTCTATATCCGTAATGGCCATGATGACGACCGACAAGACGATGCCGTGGCGTCCTCCATGCACAAGTACGGCGAGTTCTGGCTCCTGCCCCAGGCCCCATCCTCCAACCAGCTCGCCAATTCGATGGCCACGTTGATGCAGCGGCCAGTGATCAAGGGGCACTCGGGCGCGCTCAAGTCCGTGTTCGACACTCTCAACAACCTCTTCGAGGCCACGCTTCTAGTTGCGATGGGCATGGCGGACAATAAGGTACTTTCCTCAGATTCCATCTCCAGCAAGAACCCGGCGCTGTCGGCCACCATGGCCCTGATACAGTAAAAATGCAGAAGATGGCTGTGCTTTGCAAGCACCAAAAAGAAACCCAGAAAGGAGAGACACACTGGTTGAAGATGCTTACTGCATTCGTCCATACTATTGAAATTAACAACTTAGCCGTTTTATAGGCTGTACATCAACAGAAGAGATCCCAACAAAAATAACAACTACTTTGATTCAAAATGGTGCACGTGTGTAGCAACATGATGCCAACTAAGTCCTGAAAACTAGGACCCACTAAGTAACAGAAACACACGACTAGCTATTAATTGAAAAACATAAAAAACAACTTTGACTCTTTCTAACATGCCCTCCCTTAAACTGATACTACAAGTGATCATTTTAAATGTGTAGAAATAAACTCTCCTTTAATCTGAGGCATCCATCGAACAAACTCCAAGGAGCTTCCTTAATTTCTGAAATGTGGCCATTTTAAGAGGTTTTGTGAACAAATCAGCAACTTGATCTTCACTTCTGCAGAAAACAAGATCAATCACACCATCTTTTGTAAGATCCCTCAAGAAATGATACTTCACATCTATATGCTTGCTTCTCCCATGTAGAACTGGATTCTTTGACAATTTGATGGCTGAATTGTTGTCACAGAAAATTGTCGTTGCTTCTTCTAGTTTAAATCGAAGTTCTCCAAGAATCTTCCTTAACCAAATAGCTTGACAAGCACTCGAGGTGGCAGCCACAAACTCAGCCTCAGTGGTCGAAAGAGTAACAATTGGTTGCTTCTTTGAACACCATGAGACAGCCCCTGAACCAAGCATAAACACATAACCAGAAGTGCTTTTTCGGTCATCCATATCACCAGCATAATCACTATCAGTAAAACCAAGCAAATCTGATCTTTCTCCTTTGTTGTAAAATAACCCAAGAGATGATGTCCCTTTCAAATAGCGTAAAATACGCTTTGTAGCCTGAAGGTGTTTTTCGGTGGGACTCTCCATGTATCTACTGATGAGACTAACACCATACATGATGTCAGGCCTTGTTGCTGTTAAGTACATGAGACTTCCCACAATTTGCTTGTACATAGTGCTATTCACTTTCCTTCCACCGAGATCCTTGGTGAGCTTTAATCCAACCTCTATCGGTGTGGCAACTGAATTGCAATCCTTCAACTGAAACTTCTCTAAAATCTCCTGCACATATTTCTTTTGGCAAACAAATGTACCAGCTGCAGATTGATTAACTTCAATGCCTAAGAAATAGTGCATTAACCCAAGATCTGTCATCTCAAATTCATGCATCATGGATTGCTTAAATGTCTCCATCATGGCACCATCATTCCCTGTGTAGATGAGATCATCTACATACAAGCATACAAGAAGTAGTTTCCCACCATGATCAACCTTAATAAACAAAGTATGTTCATAAGGAAACTTCGTAAAGCTTTCCTTCAAAAAATAAGCTTCAATCCTACTGTACCAAGCTCGAGGAGCTTGCTTTAATCCATATAAAGCCTTCTTTAATTTGTATAATTTATTCTCACAACCAGGCTTCACATATCCAGGAGGTTGGTCAATGAATACCTGTTCTTGGAGATCACCATGTAAAAAGGCAGACTTGACATCTAACTGATGGATAGACCACGATCTCTGAGTTGCTAGCGCAATCACCAATCGAATTGTGTCAAGTCTCGCAACTGGCGCGAACACCTCTTTGTAATCCACTCCGAATTCTTGCCTATAGCCTTTTGTCACCAAACGCGCCTTGTATTTGTCAATGCCACCATCCTTGTTCAGCTTTGTCTTGAAGACCCACTTGACACCAATAGTCTTGTGGCCTTTGGGAAGATTTGTTAAGTCCCAAGTATTGTTTTTCTCAATTGCTTTAATTTCAGCATCCATTGCATCTCTCCACTTTTGATGTTTTACTGCTTCATCAAAAGTAGTTGGATCACTATCTGCAAACAAAGCAAAGTGAGTTAACGGATCTTCGCCTTGATCAACTCCAGACACCTCATAATCTCTCATCCATGCTGGCCTTTGTCGGTGACGTTGGGGGTGTTCATCATGTGTTGCAGCAATATCTGAATTGGGCTGCTGCTCCTCCGTTTCAATAGGGTCAGAACTGTTGCGAGCTGAGACCAAATTGTGTTGTTGGTCTTCCTCGCCAATCTCTTCAAAATCAGCTACAATTGGTGCAGCCCCTTCAGCTTGATCATTCCAAAGCCAGAAATTTTCTTCGTCAAATACTACATCACGGCTGATTATAATCTTCTTGGTCACAGGATCATAGAGTTTGTAAGCTTTTGTTTGATCACTTACACCAAGAAAGATGCATTTTACTCCTTTATCGTCAAGCTTTTTCCTTTTTTGATCTGGAACGCAAGCATATGTTATACACCCGAAAATTTTGAAGTAATCAACCGTCGGCCTTCGTCCATTCCAAGCTTCTTCAGGAGTCATATTCAGAACAGCAGGTGTGGGACTTTTGTTCAAGAGATGGACACTCCAATTTACAGCCTCTGGCCAAAACTTCTTCGGAATTCCACTACTTCGCAATAGACTTCGCACCATGTTGAGGATGGTTCGATTCTTCCTCTCACATACACCATTTTGTTGTGGTGTATAGGCTGCAGTAAGTTGCCTACGAATTCCATGCTTCGTACAAAAATCATCAAACTCAAGAGACTTGTACTCTCCTCCACGATCAGTTCGAAGAACTTTGATTGGATTGCCGCTTTCTTTTTCGACAAGACTCTTGAAATTCTTAAATGCTTCAAAAGCTTCAGATTTTTCA